CTACTCCCGTAAGGATTTACACCCTCGGAAACCCTGTACAGGGTCGCTATGGGTCGGAACCGACTCAACGGCACTCAACAACAACAACAACAACAACAATGCCTAGGATATTGATGTATATGCAACCCATTTCATTTTTGACAATTTCCAATTTTCCTAGATTCATACTTCGATCACTCCATGTTTGATTATTAATGGTATTTACAGCTGTTACTCTTTATTTTGAGTTGTGCTCCATCAGCAAATGAAGGTCCTGAGGGCTTTACTCCATTCGTATCATCACTGTCAACTCTACTTTGAGGATGTAGCCCTTCCCCAGACATATTTGGAGTACCTTCTAACTTGAGGGGCTCATCTTCTGCCACTCTATCTGACAATATACTGGTACTCTTCATTAAGTTTCAATATTCAGTATTCTCTGACAATGTTCCACTGCTATTCATAAGGTTTTCAGTGACTATTCAGTTCTGATGTAGCACTCTGAGTTAATGCACTGGATTGCAAAGTCAGTTTCAACCATAAAGTCAGTGGTTTAAGCTAACCAGCCACTCCTTGGAAACCCTATATAGTGTTGCTATGGGTCAGAACTCAAAGGCACTTAACAACAACAAATATTCAGAAGTAGTCTGTCTCGCCTTCTTTCTAGTCTGTCTTTGTCTGGAAGTTTAGCTGAAACCTGCCCACTGTGGGTGACTGGTATTTAAAATACCCATGGCATAACTTCCTGAATCATATCACTATGCAATCCACCACAGCACAACAAACTGACAGATGAGTGGTGGTCTCCAGGAACCGGTCCCTCCTAATCACATGCCCAAAGTTTGAAAAACGAAGTCACATTATCCAGGTTTCTAAGGAGCATTCTGGCTGCATTTCTTCTAAAACAGATTTGTTTTTTTCTGGCAGTCCATGGTATTTTTAATATGTTCCTTCAAAACCATAATTAAAATGCATTGATATTTCTATGATCTTCCTTCTCATTGTCCAACTTTAACATGCCTATAAGGCAATTGAAAATACCCTGGCTTGGGCCAGGTGCACCTTAGTCATCAAACTGGTATCTTTGCTCTTTAACATTTTAAAGCAGTTGTTTGCACTTTACCTAATGCAATACATTACATGATTTCTTAGCTGTTGCTTTCCTGAATTTTGATTGTTGATCCAAGCAAAATGAAGTCTTTAACAACTTCAATCTTTTCTCCTTTTATCATGATGCTATTTATAAGTCCAGTTGTGAGGATTTTTGTGTTCTTTACATTGAGGTGCAATCCACATTGAAAGCCATAGTTTTCTATCTTCATCAATAAGTATTTTAAATCTTCTTTTATTTAAAAATTACTTCCAGCAAGCAAGGTTGTGTCATCTGCATACCACAGGTTGTTAATGAGTTTTCTTCCTATCATGATGCCAAGCTCTTCTTCATACAATCCAGCTTTTTGGTTTATTTGCTCAGCACACAGATCGAATACATATGGTGAAAGGATACAACCCTGACACACACCTCTCCTGATTTTAACCCATTCAGTACCTCTTGTTCTGTTCAATATACTGCTTCTTGTACTATGTACAAGTTCGTAATGAGCACAATTAAGTGTTATGGAATATCCATTCTACTCAATGTTATCCATAGCTTGTCATGATTCACACAGTCAAGTGCCACTGCATTGTCAATAACTGATACCCTTGAAACAGTTGAGCATCACCATTTGTTTTTGGTACAGTGACTCTGTGTATTCTTTCCATTTTCTTTTGATGCTTCCTGCATCATTCAATAGTTTGCCCATAGAAACTTACAATGTTACAACTCAAAGCTTGAATTTTCTTCACTTCTTTCAGCTTGAGAAATGCTGAGTGTGTTCTGCCCTTTTGGTTTTCTAACTCCAAGTCTTTACACATTTCATTACAATATTTAACTTTGTCTTCAAGAGCTGTCCTTCAAATTTTTCTGTTCAGAACTTTTACTTCATCATTTCTTCCAGTCACTTTAGCTTCTCTACATTCAAGAGCAAGTTTCTGAGTCTCTTTTGACATCCATCTTGGTCTTTTATTTCTTTCTTGTCTTTTAAATTACCTTTTGCTTCCTTCCTATATGATGTTCTTGATGTCATCCCACAACTCTCTGGTCTTCAGCCATTGGTTTCTAATACATTAAATTGGTTCTTCTTGTTGTCGTTAGGTGCCATCGAGTCAGAACTGAC